ACGTGAACGCTCTCGCGAAAAGGAGGCGGAACGCCCACGGACCAGAGAGCGTGAACGTTCCCGTGATAAAGATGCTGAGCGGTCTCGCGAAAAGGATCGCGATCGTCCTCATGAGAAAGAACGCGGCCGATCGCGCGAACGAGATCAGTCTCGTGTACGCGATAAGGAGCGTGAACGGGATGGAGATTCAAGCAGAGTTCAAAGGCGGGATCGTTCCCGTGACCGAGATAGAGATCGAGAACGCGACAGGACTAAGGGTAGAACTGAGAAGAGCTCTCGAAGTCGCCGATCTCGGTCTCGGTCGAAGCTCAGGTCTGAGGATGTTCCAAAGACGAAAAGGTCACGAAACGTTGATCCTAGTCCACCCCGGTCCGAGAAAGAAAATGGTGACAAGTTCTCAGACGAATCCGATTCTGCCTCTGAGCCAGAAGAAGAATCGGCTGCTGCACAGGAGACAGAAAAAAAAGAGTCGGAATCCGTAAACGGTATTTCTCAAGAACAGTCTGAATTAAATGATGGGGAGGAGGAATCAAAACCATCTGCTGTCCCAGTTGTCGGTGTAAAATTGGCTGGGCCTGAAGACATGGATGTGCTTCCATCTCCAGTCAGAACGGTACAAAGCGCTTCACCCGGTGATAATATGGACTCGGAGGAGAAGGAATCCTCTGACGTCGTTTTAAAAGCAGAATCCTAGTTTTTTTCCTATGTGAATAATTTTTTGTACATTACATATTTGGCCCCCGTTTGTGCTTGCTTGAATCAACAGGAGTTCATACTTCGCGTGCCAGCGCTAAGTTAACTGGCTTTTCTGCCGTAGTTTCGGTCGTAACATGTGGTTCTAGTGTACACTCGATGTCATTGCCTGCAGGCCCATTCTTTGCGAAATCGGAGGGACAACTTCACTATTTCACCGTGTCGTAAATGATGTGGCATATTCTATTTGTTACAGATAGCCCGGACTTCCGGCTTTATTATTGTAGCTCAGGGAATTTCCTGTCCCGTTGGAACTGTGGTTATTGCATTCTTACACTCGCTGTCGTTATAGCTTTTGGGTGTCGATTGCGGACCTGGCTTATAACGTGACCTTAAGTATGTACAAAGAGTTCTTCCAAAGTACGCGTGAAAGGAAGTTAAGTCGGCCTTGCCTTTGACCGTACTTGCGATCGCCCGTTTGCAACAGCAGGGGATCGCCTTCCCTCTAAATAAACATGGCTGGGATAATATTATTTGCCGGACCG